AGTTACATCTTACATTGCCTCAAGAAAATGTGCATTTCAATAACTTGCCAGTTGAAAAAAAAAAGGTGTATTTCAGGTCAGTTTTTGTATGTTGTCTGTGAGTCACCACTAGTTTATTTGAAAATCCCTAGTATGCTCAGGCTTGAACCACAGAAGAAAATTACTCTAGTTAAGTAGTTTTTTAAATCACTTAACCAAGCATATATGTCTGTGTGATCATTTGGTTAAATGGGTATTGAATCAGTACCTTTTGGATTTGGCTGTGACTGAATTGTAATTCAGTTCTGGTTTAGCTAATAACAGCTTTAGGCCTTTTTCTGACCCTGAATCAGTTAGTTTAGGAAAAAACAGCATTTAAAAGTGAGAAACATCACAAGGGGGGGGGCAGGCCAACGATGAGGAACTTTACACCTGATTTTCTTTTTTCATACTTGGAGCTGAGGCACAACACAGTGTCACAGGCAGCTTCTTTGTAATGCCCACAATCTGAGGCTGAAGAGCTGAAAGGAAACAGGTGCACTCAAAGGAAGCTGCTCCATTGGTGGCAGTTTTGTGCCTGGGAGTAAGAAATGGAAGCCAAAGGGCAGAAAACTATACTCTCCTGTTACCCTCCTGGCTTAAGCTGTGCCTGCGTATGTACAGTCTGGAAATAAAACCGTAAGTCTCTTCAGTGAGTTATGGTGAGGGCTTTATTTGCTGGAGAGAAACTCAGGCTCAGAGATCCTTGCAAGTACTTTGAGGATGTTGCTTGCTGTAGAGACAATTCTGCAGATCTCTCTGCATTGGGAAGACAAGGATCAAGGCACGGTCAGCACTTCACAGTAAGAGTGGTTTACTTATGACTGCCTTTAGGAATGTATGGAAAGTCCCTGTTGAGAACTCCAAATTATAATAAAGAAACAAAGACTTATATTGTACATTCTGTTCTGAGCCATGTGAGTGACGGAAGGATGAGACAAGATGGGGTATGATGCTGTTCTTGCTGATCCCTGTGAATGCAAACAGGTCCCACGCTGAATAAGCTCCATTCTACTTCAATTAAAAAAATAGAATTCAGAGCTTGTTTTGGTTTGGGGTTTGATTGCTTTGGTTAAGTTGTCGGTTTTGGTTTAGCTGATGCTGATGCTGCAGTGTTTCTTCCCGGATAGCTGTATTGTCTCAGCTCTCTAGGGATATATGAAGCATATGCCAGCCAAAGGAGTTCTTCTGCCACCTTCTGTGCATAATTAGTTAAACTGAAAAAAATCCCTAGTCTTCTGTCAGCATAATTGTACCTGTATTTGGACTTTTATTGTCATAATTGCTTAAGGAGGGGAGGAGGCAGACATTATATTTTTCACAATTTAGGTGACATACCTTACCTGGCAATTCTTTGTATTGCCAAATCAATCTAAATTTTGGCCTAAATGGAGTGGGAGGCAGATTTGTTTGAATTGAAACAAGTCAAGTAACAATAATGGTCTCAGGCACATTGTATTTAATTCAGCCTAGGCATGTCAGAATATAACTGGTCCTAAATGCTGCCTACCAGTATAAAAGGGGGGAGCGGTGAAAAGGAAAAAAAAAAATCACATTTCTTAGTGTCAGAGAAAACTCCAAACATGAAAAGTTTTTGTTTGTTTGTTTAAAGGAGCTTAACTACATTTTGCCAAAATTTTATAACTTATGTCAACAGAAAGGTTTCTCTGAAAGCCAACACTACATTTCTGCTAGGCAGCACTGCTGAAATAGCTGTGCCTACATAACTCTACTGGCAGACACTTTTTCTGGGGTTGTTGAAAGTACATGTGGTGTTAGCCTGGTGCAGCTATTCTAGATGAATAAAACTCAGGATGGGCAAATGCTCCTATATTTCTCTTCCCTCCCTCAGTTATATCTTCTTCCATCTATCTTTTTGTATGTTTTTCGTATTTGTTTATAGTTTTCTTGATTCTTAATCATTATCTTGACACATTATCTAGCTTTTGGTCAATCAGAAGTCACCATATAGCACCAAGTTTTCCGTAGAATTGTGTAAAAAGAAGTCAAAACCACTTTTTTTTTCTGTGCAGTTATATATTTGGGGAAAAAAAATTAAAAGCTTCAGGAACTGAAAAAAAATTGTGATGTTCACAGCTTGTAATGTTACAGGTTAGGTAACAATTACATCTTTCATGTGTCTGGACCCATCTGAAAAAAGTGTCATGCTAACTATAGTAGGTAAGATTGGTATTTTCGCAAACTAATGTAGACCAGTACAACTTTTCTTGCACAAGAGAAGTTCCTCCACTACACCTTTTCCATCTATCTTTATATTTTCTTCCATACATGTAAATAGACATATGTTCTTGAAATGCAATTTAGTCTAGAAATATCTTTTCACATCACTTCTTGAGCTTGCATCATGAATAAGTTTTAGTGGCATCATGGGTTTTTTGAGCATATTTTTTCAAAATGTTTTGCTATGTTAATAATTGTGTGGCTTCTTGACATCGTTTCCCTCTTTCCACTAAATAATTTATTATTTTCAATAAACTTAAGCATATGTGCAAGCATTCCAAGGTTAACATGAAGATTACATGTATGTATCACTCCTATTTTTACATCAGTATCATTTGCCCTTTTTCTCAACAGAAAAAAGTCATTTGATCATAGTCAGTTCATGCTCAACTATTGTTCCAAATACTTTTTTTCTATTTCTAGAAAGGTCTGTAGCTTATTAATCTTATCTCCATTTGTGCAAATCATTATTGCAGCCAATTTTTATTTCACCTTATTGACTTATTGACCCTCTGCATTTGCACAAAATACAGAAATTGCGTAGAAATCTAATCCAGTTCTTTATTGTGCCATAGACCCTCTAAGATTTGTGCCATGTGACAAATTACCTTACTTTTGAATGCGATTCAGTGTAACTTTTCAATTTGACAGGGCATTATTCTGAATACGGTTTTAAGCTAAACTGTGTTTTACTAGCTCACTTGTAAGACTGTCTAATGAGGAAGTCTCAGTGGCCATATTGTATGTTAAAATCATTCCCTGAGAGGAATGTTGTAGCTCAACAAAATTGTCTCATTCAATAAATAGTTAAAAGTCAGATTGGGAGGCATTTGTGGGAGAAAGGTGTTTGTCCAATGCCTATGTGAAATGGTCTAGTGCTGTGGTTTTCAGTATTTTTCTATTTGGGGAACTTTCAGTATTTTTTGGTGGACCTTTTTATAGTTAATTTAAGTCTATTGACAATAGACATTGCTCTGATGAGTTGATCCAGTTACTGGTTGTTGTTCTGGTACCTCTGGTGTTCATGGGAGACTTCAGGTGAAGTGTTTCAGTGAGGTTTTGATGACTTGGCAACCAGTACAACTGCTTCGGTGAACGCATTACAAGCATTTGTGTGGCTGTGCAGTGAATGGGGTCATAGAAAAAAATTACTCAGAAAAAAGTTCTTTTTCAGACAGGTTTTATTCCTCAATTGTTTACTGTGCAGCCACAAAACATTTGCACTAGCACATGTGAGTAGGGGATTGAAAATATGGGAGTGACTTTGGGGAGAGTTCAGTTGTTTCTCTTTATGATATTGATGAGTTCTGACCCCTGTGGTTTTATCTATCATTTTGTTTTGTTGCATGCATTAAAAGCTTAAGGAAAAATTAAATATGTTAAACCAACTCTCTTGAACTTTCACCTGTATTTTGTCAAGATTGTTTTACTGTTCTATGATTGTCTGTTACAGCTGATTGCAATACTTGATTCTTTTGAAAAATGTCAGTAAGTTCTTTGTAATTGAGCTGAGGATTCCCTATTCATTAGGAATCATTTAAATTTTGTTCTGAGAAAACGAAGTTGCAAATGCTCTTATTTTTACCTAGGATATTTCTGATGAGCTTGTCAGTGATTTTTTTTAAAGTGTATTAACTCTTTCAAGACTGTAAATAATTCCTTCTGAATATTCAAATGAAAACAAAACAATGACCAAGTAAAAAAAAAAAAAGATGAATTAAAAATCCTTGCAGAATGCAAATAATTTAGCATAATTGGAGGAGTGAAGCAGACATGAAGATCATCATAATAGATATTCATTTGGTAGAGCTATGTCTCAATTTACTTCTAATTTTGTAAATAATTTTGCACGTGTTTCATAAAATGCAATTCAGAGCCATCAGGGCTACGTAAGTTGCTGGTGTGATGAGTTTACACTAAGATGACAATCCATGACTTAGAGCAACTGAGACGCAGGCACATGCTCCCTTCTGCCAGCTTTGTTTCTTTGGATAGTAACTTCAGGCATAGATGGAAGCTGTGACTTATTAAACTGCTCTTGTAATTTGCTTGGTTGAATGTGAGAGCTCTGACTGTGAGAGGCACTGAAAAGTTATGTCACTTTCTGTTTGTTGCTCTATCTTGCTGTAAAACATTACTACTAGACTGGGAGTCTAGTCTTAATTTTATCTTTTTACAATCCAATTTAGCAGGTACTACAAATAACTAAGTATTTGAGGTAGTATATTTATTTTCAGACTATACGACAATTTCATTTTTTTTATTGACATATTTCAATAAGTTTATTTAAATATGGGACATAAATGATGAGGACTGACTTTCCTCTTACCGTGTTTTGACTTCTGTTGCTTTTGTTCCTAAATTACATGAGTGAAGCTGTCAGGAACTATTAATGTTGTTTCTCTGCTTTTAAAGTGTATGACATGAATTAGCATAGCACTCTGTTAAACTACAGAATATAATTGTTGTTATACTTCAAAAGATACTAAAATTTTAGGTGAGATGAATGGCCAAAATGCTGTGGGAAAAGAAAAAAATACTTAATCTAAATTACTGAGAATTCTCTTAACAGTGGTATTGCTTAGCAAGGCTGTGCTTCCAGTTTTGTCAGTGACTGTGTGAAAGACAATTGATAATTTTTATTCTGTTCAGTGAAGGAGTGTGAGTGACAAACCATAACCTTGTTTAAATGTTTTTCATCCATATGCACTCTTCAACCGTATTGTTTGTATCTGTTACAGATCCTGGCTCTGCCGAACGCACAGCACAAAAAAGGAAGTTTCCCAGCCCACCACATTCTTCTAATGGCCACTCGCCACAAGATGCATCAACAAGTCCTATCAAAAAGAAAAAGAAACCTGGTCTATTGAACAGTAATAATAAAGAGCAGGTAAGAGAAGTCATGGTCTTGTTATGCTAGAATATGAAACAATGAAGGATGTAGAGACAGCTGATCAGGAGCTCTCTCCTCTTTAGGAAGCTCTGTTTTTGTACTCTAAGAAGAGGATATTCATTTTTGAATGCAGTGGGTGTAGGAGTTGACATTATAAGTTGGATTTGGGTGTTCTTTTATTTTTGTTTTACATCTGTATGAGAAAGACCACCTGTGACCCGGTTTTTGATTTTGTAAAGCTAATAAGGTGTATAACCAATAAATGCAATTTTGAACAAAAGGATTATGAAGGAATATAATAACAATAGCAACAACAACAATAATAGTTGCTATTAATTAAAACCATTAAAAGGAAATGTTCAGGGGCGTGATATCCTAGGTTAAGAAAGATCTCATAATGTCAGTGGAAGTCTCTCACCTGCTTTCAGTCCTACTGCCAATTATTAACAAAAGTCCAGCTCCTTCCTTGGTACTCTGCAGATTCTCTCCCCTTCTTTTAAATTGCTGGGCAGTGTACACTCCTACTAAACTAGTTAAATCAAAGGGTCACACTGACAGTACTCTTCAATCTTCATGCTTGAAACCTTATTTTCAGTGTCTTCTGAATACTGAATTTATAGGATTTGTTGTAGTTCTTAGCAGAACTTGACGCCAGAAGACTGACAATTTCTGATTCGTTGTATGATGCAAGTGAAAGAATTATATGAAGTGTACTGAATAGCAAATGCTGTAAAGCACCTGCATCGTCTTGGAGGAGATTACATGAAAGCAATCTTTAGCCTTACTGAAATTATTTCTCATCTAATTTAATAATGACATATCTGTGTATTTTTCAAAGTGCTTTTGTGTGTCAATGTGTTTTGCCAGGATCATATAAACAGGGTTAAGTTCTGAGTGTTTAAAGCACTTTTTCCTGGTGTAACAGCATCCACATTAAATATCATCCTGGTACAATTGCACTGATTAAGAAAGAAAATGAAATTCCTCATCACCGCAGTTGTCCTGGAACAAAGACTGAATAAATCAGGCCTTGCTAGAGAACAGTCTTACAGTGTCAAGCGCATTTTATTTAAGGATAATTGGGCGGTCTAGTAATAGCATGTGTAGGCATGCTTGCACTAGTATAATGTGGCCAGTTTGGCTTTTACTGAGCTTCACTGCAGGCTGTATAAATTCCTCTACATCCTGGATTTTTACTGGGGAGATGTTGCCCCACTGAAATCTGAGCTTCTAACTGTGCAGTGTAGAGATAATTTTACAAACAGTGGAACTGAATCTTAGGGTATTAATTTCCACTTCTTATTCATGAATTTAAAAATATATATGAGAACGCAGTTGCAGTTGTTGAACTTGATACATTCCCCTTGGTAAATCGTTTTCTGTTTTCCAGGTATCTCAGACCTGAAATATTACAGGATAGAATAAAGTTGTATGTCTAATGAAGAAAAGCAATCAGACTTGCTTATTTTGCTGTATTTGTTACAAGTTAGCAAGAAAATATCATCTGTTTAGTTTGTTTAGCTTTTACGAGTTGTTTTTAATTTAATATTGTCTTGCATGTCAAATTTGAAATGGGCATGCCTGAAGATGATTGTTTCTGAAGTAGGTGCAAAGCTCTGCTCTGTATGGTAGTAGGAGTTGTTAAAGATTCTTTTACTGCTGAACAGATGTGAGCTAAGCATACAGTTACTTGTTTTGCTCTCAGGTTAAGTTTCAAGTATAATGTAGCTGATAGCTGTGGTTCTGATTGGCTGATAAATCCATTTTGAGGTATGACAACATCACTGGAAACCTCCACCTTAATAGTCTACATTACAAAGTGTTTTGTAATATTTGGGTATTTCAAGATACAGTTACTGAAGTTATAGTTGCATGAAACTTTGTATTAATGTTGTGGATGCAGTAACAGATCTTCAGAATGGTGCCAACAGGTATTTAAAGTGTTGAAATACAAGCAAAGAATTATGGAATTGTAGAATGTAGCTAAGACAGGTTAAAATCAGGAACTTCTGACACTTAATTGGTCAGTTATAATGTAATTGAAGTTGTCAGCTTGTTTTACTACTAGCTTCGATACTAATTTAAACTGAATATAAATAGTGATCTTTTTCTCCCCAAAACAGCACTACAATACTGTTGTTTTTTCTTCAGTTTTCGATGTCATTCTACAGGTCTTAATAACTTTAATAAAGACTTTAAAACAAGCTACCACCTATTTGAACTTGAATTGGCTAGTTGTGAAACAGTGGAGAAAACAAAGCTTTTCTTTCATAACTGTTAAAATTTAAACTCTTAAAACATTTTACTCTGATTAGAACAAGTGAAAAGGCCCTTTGATGCAGTTGAATCATTCATTTTCCGTCTTTTAGTTTTGTTGTTTGGATCTTTTTTGAGTCTCAGAACCTTTTTTTTTTTGTTGTTCTTATCTTAGCTTAGACAAAATACGGTGATAGATGTCTAAAAAATATAAGCATCCTTGAAGAGAAAATTAATTCCTCTCATGCTCGAGCAAAAATGGACTCCTGTTCGGTGTGGATGTTATGAGGTCATTTCTGTGGAATAGTTTCACAGGTTTTATATTTGTCTTAAAGCAGTATCTTTGATTCTTAGGAAGTTAGTGTGGATATACTGCTTATACCCACTTCAAAGTCAGAATATGTATTAAATTCTTCTGGTAATTTCCTTTATCTGCAGTTGAGGAAATGCTCCATAGCTGCGTCTCCACGTATACTCTATTGAGATTTTGGTCTTAGAGCTGTGGTGCATATAGCTGCAAACAAAACATGTTTCTGCACTGTAAATTGCAACTTTCCCTTTTTCACTCTGGGTTTCCATATGGCTTTGTATCTGTTTGAGTGATTGTAGTAGTAATACATTTGAAATGTAGTTAAAGCCTTATGCTGTCCCTCTTACTCCACAAGATCTCATAGAACCTTCCTTCTGAAAGTCTTGTCGTGTCATATGATTAAATATATATACAGAGAAAGTACAGAAAATAACACTTTGCTCATTTCTGTGGTGGGAACAAAGTATCTTTTTAGTAGCTGTATCATCTGTAGAACAGGAAATGAAAAACACCAAAACTGATAGAAATTCAAGTGAAATTTTAGGTAGCAGAATGCTTTGGGAATGTTTGTGGGTAACATCCTTTCTTTGCCTAAAATATTATACAGTGTTAGATAATTGCAGATGATACCTCTTCTGGTGTGTCTTTTGAGATATAACATCTTCAGCTGGGTTGTCACTTCTGCGTCATCTAATTTGACCTTGAAGGTCCTCTATTAATGCAAATAATTAGACCTTGTCCTTTGTAACTTTAGAAATCTAGAAATATCACGGTCCAAGCTGGCATGCTGGTGGTTTCTGGTGACATTAATTTATGCTCTGTGTGACTAATTTTGTACAGGATGCTGCAAAGGTATGGAACATGCATATGCTTGCACTGTTCTATGAGTCACACGGGCATGTGACAGCTCTGAGGGTCTAAGAACTTGCAGATATGTAAATGGTGTAGGACGCATGCAAAATTACCTGAGAACCAAACAAAATGGTTCTGTAAACTACAAGCATTTAGATAGTTACAAGTAATGTCATGAACAAATGGTTTTACATCAAACTAAAAAAATCACAGTAAATAAACTGCCTAAAACTCAAGATTGTTTCCCTCCATGCCCTCCTCAGCAAACCATCCCTATAATTAATACCAAACAGAAAACTTAAGTTCCCTTGTCATTAATAAATAGAATGTAGTTTTCCAATAAGTGTTAGCAGCCCTTCAAAGCTGATCTAACAAACTTTAGGTATAAGGGGACCCATTTTAGCCATCCCGGGCTCTTCGCTTCTTGTGTTTTGCCGTCAGCTGTGTCATCTTTCAGCTGTCTGGGGCTCAAGTGGAAGACTACTTCATGCAATTTATAAAGTTAACACTGTTTTCTAGTGCAGGCAAACCAGTGGAGATTGAGAGTCTTAAATTCTGATATGCATTTAAATGGTGGATTAAACCTCTCCCAGTGTTCCTGCTCCTGTAGCGGAGGTGGCTGTTCAGGATGTGAATTTGCTCCTTTGTCATCCTACTCTACAGTTTGCCTCATTAATTAAAATCAGCACTGGCTTGCTTCACTGTACAAAGTTTTGAACTGCTGCAACTTAGGATAGATTTGCATGGTGTTCAATTTCTTGTTTCAGGACTAACTTCTTCAGTTGTCCCAGGTTTAGCCACCACTAAATATCTCAGTATTTAGCTTGCACAGCCCCATGGAATTCTGAGTTTAGAGGACCTAACAGCTTCTATAGCAATACTTCTTTCTTGAAGATAAAAGTGTTTACTGACATTTGTTGGATTGCATGTTTTGCACTTGATGCCCTCACTTGTCACAAAATTTTATTTTTAGTCCTGAATGTAAGCTGGCATTTGACATCTGAATAAAAAGTAAACCTCTTTATGAAAGATTTTGTGCAATGAATAAGATAATGTGCTTGTATAAATGTTAATCAAACTCTGTAAATTGCTGTTTGCTTATGTATTATGAATATTATTATTTGAAAAAATGCAAATTTGTTTTGAAACCAAACCTGTTTTTCTTGCCTACATTTCAGTCAGAACTAAGACATGGTCCGTTTTACTATATGAAGCAGCCACTCACCACAGACCCTGTTGATGTTGTACCACAGGATGGACGGAATGATTTCTATTGCTGGGTTTGTCATCGGGAAGGCCAAGTCCTCTGCTGTGAACTCTGTCCTCGGGTTTATCATGCTAAGTGTCTGAAACTGACAGCGGAACCAGAGGGGGATTGGTTTTGCCCAGAATGTGAGGTTAGTTTGATATAAGGAGTGGATTTCTTTCTTGTTTGTGAGATATAAGCAGCTTTTCTTGCGTTCTGAAATGTTTCTGGTTTATTCCTATATTGCCTCTTGGTAAAGGTACCAGAAAAATTTGTACAGAGGAGGAGGCATTCATTGCTGCTTCACCACTTTTTCTGTGTGCGTACCTGGATTGTGTTTGCCTTCTTACCACGAGTCTTCAACTTTGTGTTTCCATCTCTAGAGAAGGCACCATTTCAAAGAGTGATCTCTTCATCAGGCACCTCTAATTCTGAAAACATTCTGCAGTTTTGACTAGTTTAACTTGTGCTTCTTCTAGTGGGCTGATCAACTCTGCAGCAGTGTAGAAAAAAATTCCACTGTAGGGTCTACATAAACAAGTGGGTATTTTATTACTATATTTTTCCACAGGGCTGAGGACGAATTTAATCATTCCTCTCCAATGATTCCTGGGGAGAGAATACTTAGCATCAAAGTATCTTTAATGAAAGCAAATTGGTTTACTGCATGTTTTTCTTTGATCACTTATTGTATTGGAGCCCAGGTGACCTTCTCACTCATTCACATTGCTGTGAACCTGCATTGTATTTGGCAATTTTAGGTATTCACAGATTCACTTTGCGTGCTGTTGAAGATGATGGAAAATTTTCTGGTCTTTTCCATTTTCTTTTTTAGTTTTTTAGATTTTTTTTCTGATTAACATTCCCAGAACAAAGCCCAAGTAAAACAAGCATCTGAAGTGCTTATATTGCATCATCAGAAATGTTTTGTTTCTTGTAAGATAGTTATTACCTTCCATTTGAATGCTAGAATGTTTCAGTGGGGAAGAATTTACCTAGAAATGTTTGCTGACAAAATATTTTTTAATCTTAATTTTTAGAAAATCACAGTTGCAGAATGCATAGAAACACAGAGTAAAGCTATGACAATGCTCACCATTGAACAGCTATCATATTTACTGAAGTTTGCACTACAGAAAATGAAACAGCCAGGGGTAAGGAAGATATATATATATTTCTTTTTAATGCTTGGATCATATGTTTGTCATAATCCTGGGTTTTGCTTCCTTTTGTGGATTATGAACCTAACTTATTTTATCAGATTGTATGTGACAGCTTCTGTGCTGTCTGCCACCTGTCTAGTACAGACAGATTAGTTTAGTCTGTATATACTGTTTTGGAGTGCATTTAAAATGCAATTTCTTGTTGTAACTTCTGGACGTAGTTTCAGTAGGTGTAGTGAAAATATAATACGGCTTTCCAGTGGGATGTGGTGGTTTCTCACTCACCAAAGATGGAAAATGCTGTGCCTGAGATACAAGAGGAACGAAGAGAAATGATCTTTTACCAATACAGTTACATGGGCAGGAGCCTTAGGCACAGACACTGTTACATTATTGATTATATCTGTTGAAAACCTAGCTTCTATCTGTTAGTAGAAATTGTTCTTACCACGAAAGTTAGTTGTATCATATACTTCTGAAACGTGGAAGAAATTTTCCTCAGTGTGGTGAAAACCTGTGCCATTAACTTTCATGCAATATGAGGCTGCTGTTCTATGAATTTTTATCACGGAGGTAAAATTGGTTTTCCTCCAACTTGTACCTATCTTCTAAGTCTGTCTTAGACTCAGTTCTCAAAATCACCATGCCTCAAAGTTTCAGCTATTCCAATCACTCATTCTTGCTTCTAAGTTTCAACAATTCTGGTCGGTTTTTCTTCACCATGCAAGTGTTGCCTAGTTTTCACATGGGTGAAGAAAACAGTGAATCAAAATATGATGTGATGAATTACCAAGGGTTGTCTTAACTTCTGTTGCCTTCTTGTTCCGGTTTGTAAGTTAGAGGAGCAGGGAGAGTGTCTCTGTGCCTGCGTTGTTATAGTAAAATATGTTGGGAAAACTAGATGTGCAGAATCATGGGCTCTCTGTAACTCTGATCTCTCTATGATAAGTATTTTAGCAGAACAATAGTGGCAATTTCTGGGAAGGTTACTCTTAAGTACTGACAGATTTTGTCTCTTGGAATCGTTTTACTCTGGAATGATAAATACTATCCTATTAGATGGAGCCATTAGAAGCTTTAAGTGCTGCTTTTCAGAAGCAAAGTGTCAGTGTTTGTTTATATTGAATTCACAAAGTGTTCTGAAAATGTGGTTAGAAAGCGAATGTTTAATGAATGCTGTTGAGGTATTTTGCCCTTCAGGCATTTTACTAATAATCTGTTATTTTGGTACCTGAGTACTTTAATTGGTTGCGTTTGAAGAATTGCAGTCCCTCCACATTAGCCGATAAAATGTAGAGTCCCACTGATAAAAGTTTGAATGTGTTTGCATTACTAAGCCACCATTGTTTTGAAAGTTATGATGCTAATGAGAGTCTAAAAAAGAAGTATTTGTGAGTCTAAGTGTCTTCATTCTGCTAAAAACTGTTGAGCCTCATTTGATGCTCCTCACAAAAAAACCCCGACTATAAATAAGAGTACATTTTACAAAACCCCAAACTTTTGCAATTCATTACTTCCAGCATATGAAAAATCAGTTAAATGAGACCTTTTAGTTCCTCTTGTTCTGCCAGTACTTTATTACTTCACAAAATTTTATAATTACCTTTAAAGAATTTTCTCTGACATCACAGTTGGACGTAGTATTAGAAAAAGAGCAAGTATTGTGTCATTGATGAAACTGTTCAGTATTAATAAGCGGTGTGATTTTTTTTTTTTTTTTTTCCCCTCCCCCTAACAGACAGAGCCATTTCAAAAGCCAGTTTCACTGGATCAGCACCCAGATTATGCAGAATATATCTTTCATCCAATGGACCTTTGTACATTAGAGAAGGTTTGTATGAAGCTAAGGGAGGAAGGTTTCTTGAGTTTGATTGCTATCATTAAGATTTCTGGAGTGTATGATGGGAGGGGGAGAGAGGTTGCTTCAAATTATTTTGATGCTTTTTTTTTTGTTATTATAAATGCCAGTTCAGTTACAGCTTAAAAACAATCATATGCCAACTGAACAAGTTCACTATTTTGTCTGAACCAGTAACAAATGCTCAGGAAAAACAGTATGAAAAAGACAAGCTTACACTGATGACTTCCTCCTGTATAAACTCATCTAATTCCAGGAACGATCCTGTGGGGAGACTTCGTTAACCAGAGTTTGCATTTGATCATCGTGTTTGTAAGCTGTTAACAGATCACTGGTCCATTAATTTGGGACCATTTAAGTGTATATCCAGGGGTCATTCCAGACTCATTTTACTGATCATTCAACAAATACTGTAATCTCCAGTGCACCTGAGGTGGGGAAGAAAAAAGAAACAGTCAAGAGGTGCATAATGAGACTTTCATTCTCAGTTCAATAATAATTTAAAAGTTTCAAATCATGAAGAAGTTCTTCATTCTCCACTGCTTAATGAAGAGTGAAGCGTTGCAGAGTTTTGTTCTGCTAGGACCTGGTGAATCATAGAATCACAGAATCATTAAGGTTGGAAAAGACCTCTTAAGATCATCAAGTCCAACCTCAACCCACCACCACCATGCCCACTAAACCATGTCCCTAAGCGCCTCATCTACACGTCTTTTAAATACTTCCAGGGATGGTGACTCCACCACTTCCCTGGGCAGCCTGTTCCAAGGCCTGACCACTCTTTCAGTAAAGAAGTTTTTCCTAATGTCCAGTCTAAACCTCCCCTGGTGCAACTTGAAGCCATTTCCTCTCGTCCTATCGCTTGTTACTTGGGAGAAGAGACCAACCCCCACCTCGCTACAACCTCCTTCCAGGTAGTTGTAGAGCACGATGAGGTCTCCCCTCAGCCTCCTCTTCTCCAGGCTAAACAGTCCCAGTTCCCTCAGCCGCTCCTCATAAGACTTGTTCTCTAGACCCTTCACCAGCTTCGCTGCCCTTCTCTGGACACGCTCCAGCACCTCAGTGTCCTTCTTGTAGTGAGGGGCCCAAAACTGAACACAGTATTCAAGGTGCAGCCTCACCAGGGCCGAGTACAGGGGCACGATCACCTCCCTCCTCCTGCTGGCCACACTATTTCTGATACAGGCCAGGATGCCATTTTTCATTCTCCATGTCCTTAGAGTGGAGGTTGATGTCTTTATGGTATAAAGGTGTAACAAATCCATGTGATTGATTTTATCTAATCGAATTACTTTACCCAGTGGGTAGACTGAAATATCAAACATACTGTCTTATGCACTATGACCAATAATTTTTTCTGGGTCTTGTAAAAATTAAAAAATAAAAATGCTGTGGAGCGATAATGTGTCAGTAGAAGAAATCAAGGACTCCGTTTTCTGAAGAGTCATGGAATGGAACACTGTTTCAGGAAATGAACATTTTTTTTTGAAATGTTAAAGATGCTGATCTAAATAATTCATTACTTAGAGTTAATTTAAACAGTTCATACATTTTCAGGGCAGTCAAAAGACACCCTGAGTCTGACAGATTCTTAAGTATTTAGAATCATAAGTCTTAGAGTAAGTAAGTAGTTGGTTGTGTTAATTGTAGGACTGATAGGAAGCAGTGTCACTTTACTCATTTCTGTTTCCTGATTCATTCTTAATTTTTTGTTTACAGAATGTTAAAAAGAAAATGTACGGTTGCACTGAAGCATTTTTGGCTGATGCCAAATGGATTTTGCACAACTGCATTATTTACAATGGGGGTAAGCATTAACATGTACTTATATCTTCAGATATGAAACTTTGAAATAGTTAAAGTCATAGAGCAATTTGTAGACTTCTAATTGGCAAATGCTGAAAGTATCTTCCTGTTAATGACCTAACACATTAGGGTCTAAACAACCATAGTGCCTAAACACAACAAATTTTTTTTTAACAACTGGCATACATAAAACTGTAGGACCAAATACAGCCCGTGCTGTCACTTGCTCTTTCCACCTTAAAAAAATTTCAAGTAAGTTAGAATCATAGAATGGTTTGGCTTAGAAGGGACCTTAAAGATTATCTGGTGCCAACCCCCATCATCTGGTTCCAATCCCCAAGTTGCTTTAGCGTCTTCCATTGTGCAGCACTTTATAGGAGACCTAATTGAAGAGATGGTACTGCATGTCTAGAGTGTATTGGGGTGGGCAGGCTGCAATAGGCTTCAAAAATGAACATTTAAAGATTGTTACAATGTTACACTGAGAAGAAAAGTGCCTACCTTCAGCTTTTGCAAGCATGTAATTATACATATGTGTTTTACATTGTCTCTTTAGATGTTCTCTTTTGTCTTTAATGTTAACTTTTAAGACTGAAAACTGTTGATTTTATCATAATTCTAGCATAACAATTTTCTTGGTTAAAGCATTTTATTGTTTCCTCAGGAAATCACAAATTGACACAAACAGCAAAAGTCATCATCAAAATCTGTGAGCATGAGGTATGTGTGCCCCCATTAACTTAATTGTTCTATATTTTTAGTGTGTTCCATTTCATGTATTTGTGAGTGAAATAATATGCGTTTTCTAATGTGTGTATTGCATAACTATAATTTTTGTAGGCTTTCTTATGTTTAGATAGGCATATCCATGTCCTACAGAATGATTTTTGGCAAGGGCATTGCTAATGTGTCTTCCATTAGGATATTCACTATCTATAATTAAGACTTGCGGGGGGGAAGGAAGAGAAGAAAGTGGACATATGGATTCTGCGCAAAGACACCTATCTTCTAAATGAATATTTGGAGTTGCAAAGAGAGACCTACATCTTCTGATTCATACATGCGTTTTTGGTGGTTCTTTTGCTGTAACAATATGAAATTCCTCTGAATAAATGCAAAAATTACTGCATGTGTTCTTAACTGATCATTTACACTGATTTTATTTCAGTGGCAATCCATAACGTTAAGTAAACCTGCTATTCTAAATGTAGTATATTTGAACAATATTTAATTGATATAAATTATCTGATGATCTGACCCTTTATATTTATAGAAGTGCTTTCTCCATCCCTGGGTTGACACAGCAATATCCATGATTCACATAAATTCTGAGAATTTATCAATTCTTAATAGAACAAAATACATGTATAACCTGAGCCTGATATCTTAACTGGTTTATATAATATGAGCATAAGAAGTAAAATATTTTATTTTTGGCTCTGCATAAATTATGAAATTAAATGCCCAATTGAGGTTATATTTTTGCCATTGGAAGAAGTTATGATAAGTAATTCTTTAACACTGAAATACAACATCAAACAAAGGATGTATTTTTTTTGACTGGAGTAAATGACAGTAGCATACAATCTGAAGAGGGGTGTAAAAATGTGACTGATTTATTAACTGGAATGCATACGTTACAGGGGTAGGCAAAGGTGGGTGTCTGTCAAAACAGTGTTGATTTCACAGCAAAGTAAATGTTGATTTATGACCACAAATTTGTGGAAGAATGATGCTAGCAAACTAGACAGGCTAACATAATAATACTGATCACACTTTGGACTCTGTTTAAGCTCTTTGATAACTGTTTGCTTTTTCTTTTCAGATGAATGAAATTGAAGTATGTCCGGAATGTTATTTAGCTGCTTGCCAAAAACGAGAAAATTGGTTTTGTGAGCCTTGTGTAAGTTAAGGATTATGGTAGTCTAGCTAATACATTAAACTAGCAGTTCTCATTTGACTGTTGCTTGTTATCCCCCCATTGTTTTAAACCTGTGGTGGTTAGTGAGTCAAGGAAAGCTGCTGTAGTTTAGAAAGTAGCTTGTGCTTGCACATCATGCTCTTTGTGCAGTCAGACTGTCTCAAGATGTTTAGCTGTAAGATTGCATGCTTTCACAAAAGGATTGGTTTGGTCAGAAATAACTGTAAAGGGTGTCAGCAACCAGTTCGCAACTTCTCTATCCTCAAATATAAGATATCTGCTCCTGGGTCATCTGTGCTTGCATGTGGTACTTGCACTCAGGGTAAGATTTCTGAAATGCGAATGTCTCTTTCTGCAGGTGTGAAACTGAATATTTACACTTGATTTTTCTTTCATGACCTATTAATTGGTTATCTGTTTTCTGTTTTTGTTTAATACTGCACCAAATTGGGAAGACTCCTTAAGATTCTTAAATAGAAGTGTATAATCCATGAAGTTCTGTCTTGGACTTAAGTGAAAATTAGAGAATTTGAAAGATTGGCCCTAGCCTAACTTACATTATGCTACGTATTTGGAGAGAACTAATAAAAAATAAATAAATAAAAAAGTGCAATTACGATGTATTTAATTGAGATACTTAAGGTTTTATGTTTTGGTTTTTTCTTTTTTAAATTTTATTATTTTGTCCTCTCAGGATTTATTATGCATATGTCAAGTATATAATAAAATGGAATCTTGTATTTGGCAAGTGCCTTGTGCATATTGAGTCTTTATTGAACCTAAGTAATACATACAATTTAGAAAAAAATCATGTTGTTTATCAGATTTGAAGGTAATACTGCTTGTATTTTCTTACTGTGTATTTTGCCTCTTCCTCTAGAGCAATCCCCATCCTTTGGTCTGGGCTAAACTCAAAGGCTTTCCATTCTGGCCTGCTAAAGCACTGAGGGATAAAGATGGGCAAGTTGATGCCCGTTTCTTTGGCCAACACGACAGGTGGGAGTTTAACCAAAGGATGTCTTTGGCTGTACTTACAAAATTTGTGTTGTAATTTTGTGCTCTTAGAGTTTTTGGATCCTGCCTTTTGAACCTTGACCCTAATAAGCTATAAAATACTGTAGCATATATATTCTTAGTTTCTTACATGATGTCTGTAGAATGTAAGTCATGTTTGTAAGATTAATACATATCTAATCTCAGTAAGTATGCAAGTTAATTCCTGTGTCTGGTTTTGTGCTGCAGAGAACTGTAGTTCTTAAAGGTGGAAGAAGTCAATAAAGTTGTTTATGTTGTCTAAATACTATGGGAATAAACACACAATTGTAGATTTAAAAAAATACAGAAAAAATATAGAAAATATAATTTGTGTTGAAAATGCCAGTTTCGCTTTGAAAGGAGTTAAGTTTTCTGTACTTGTGAACTCTCTGCGTGAAAGCAAGCCATGGTGAATATGAGTTGATTTGTCATGAATTGAAAATACAAATCTATACAGTTATAAAAACATGTACTGTAAAACAAACTGTATAATGAAATAATTAAGTCAAAGTTCCTGGTATTTTAGTGTCTTGGAAGGCACGGTTTTAGAGTCTGCCTCATTTCATAGAATCATAGAATCTGTCCAATACTTGTTGATGGAACTTTTACTGGCATTGAGGAGTTTGATCACCCTGACATGGAGTGTAAAATAGAATATTATATTTTTAAGAATGTGCTTGTGAAGTCTTTTCTTCCTGACCTGCTTTTTATGTTTTTCTGCTAACTATGACAGATGGAAAGACTGTTTAGTTATGGTTGTCTTACAGTTACATAGACTATTCTAATTAGGAATATTTTGTCATATTTGACCAGTGTTTATTCATGTTTTATGTGTTACTGGTTAGAGTAAAATAAGCTACTGATAATCTAAGACATGCAGTTTACTTACTTACCAAAACTAAGCACTGAACTATTAAAAGAAGAAGGTAGAGATGGTCCTTTGAAATGATCTGAGGTGTGCGTATCTTTATGATTAGGCTAAAATAAATTAGTATGTGCACAAAAGTTGCCAATGTCAATCCACAGTGTGAAATGTAGTTATATTATCTTTTATTTTTCTGTTTTATATATAGGGCCTGGGTTCCAATAAATAATTGCTACCTCATGTCTAAAGAAATACCTTTTTCTGTGAAAAAGACTAAAAGCATCTTCAATAGTGCAATGCAAGAAATGGAGGTTTATGTTGATAACATTCGTAGAAAATTTGGAGTATTTAATTATGCACCTTTCCGGACACCATATACTCCCAACAATCAATACCAAATGTTATTAGACCCTGCAAACCCAACTGCTGGAACTGCAAAGACAGACAAACAAGAGAAAATCAAACTGAACTTTGATATGACAGCATCACCCAAGATTTTAATGAGCAAGTCTATGCTGAGCAGTAGTACTGGTCGTAGGATTTCATTGACAGATATGCCACGGTCACCAATGAGTACAAACTCATCAGTTCACACTGGATCTGATGTTGAACAGGATGCGGAGAAAAAAGCGACTTCCAGTCATTTTAGTGCCAGTGAAGAATCCATGGACTTTATTGAGAAAAATACAGGTAAAAAAAAAAAAAAACCAAAAACAGAAAAGGGGGTACTTTGCATTTAGTTAATGCACTAGTTTTATTCCATGTACTTTTTAAAGACAGACTGTATTATGACTCATTTTATGAAGAAATTTTAGAAAAAAAGATGGGTTTAACTTTCAGTAGCATAGATAAGAAATTACAGTCCTTTCTGTCACATTGAGAAGGAATAAATAATCTTGAAAAGTGACCAAAACCCTTCAGTTTAAATAGCAGAAAATAGTTGTAACTATCGAAATGAATGGAGAGTGGAAGTAAATACAAAAAGAGTTAGAATTGTCATGATTAGGAGGTATTCTATTTAAAATTTGATAGTTCTTTTTCAAGGCAATGTACTTAATTTATAGTTCCCAACTGAGTAGCTAAAATACGATAAAACTACAGTTCCATAGGCAGAGTGGATAAAGAGGAAAAGGAGTGTAGAATACAGAATTTGGACTTCTCAAACCAAACGCTAGCTAATTTTGTGGCACTCAAGCAAACTAACTTAGTTGTTTTCATCCATAAGAGAAAGTTCATCACTATCTGAAAGAAGTGATGCAGTATATTAATTGATGTGAGTGTTTTAAAACTTTGGTTTTGGTGAAAGGATGTCTTTGTGTAGAGAACTAAATCAATACATTCCGTTACAGTTTTTAGAAAAAATGCTGTTATTTATTTATTTGTTTATTTATTACAATCTTATTCTTTCTAGCCAATAAAGGCTAGGCTGTGAAACTACCCTTGGATACAGAAGTGTCTTGTGATTTGATCCTGTTCATCTTAAGAAAGTGATGACAAAGTAACTGTATGAATTTAAATATATGAAAATACTTGGATTTTTCAGTAGAGTAACATGTCAAAGGAATAATTCATTTTATACATAAATTATCATGTATTTATGTGTGTACAGCTCTTATACATAAGGTGTAGCTAACAGGTACTGTTTTGTGTCTTAAACTACAGAGCTTTTGTTACACCACATTATTATTTCTTTATAGTAGTGGAGATACTAATGGAAAGTCACATTAAAGCTATTTTGTCAGATAAAGGTAAAAGAAGATGACAGATGTTATCGTAGTACTCTGGATCCTTGATTATCATAGCAGTTCTGGGGAATTTTTCTAACTTTTCCTCAGGCCTTACTATCCTCTATCCTAGTGCATAGAAATGCTGGATTGGACTTAACAGCAATTAAACTAGAATATTCATTTTCCCACCTGGCATTTCTACCTGTATACTGTTACAAATGCTAACTTCTGTAATATTTACTTTATGTATAAACTTAGCTGTCCTATTACTGGAATCTGTGTGTTTCAAATGAAATGTAAATTAAATTACTTGTTTGCTGTAAAAAGTAATTCAAGTAGTATGACTGCGCTATCCTTAGACAAGAATGGTTTTATTTGGATGCCTCTGTTGTGTATTTTGAGTGATGCATAGAAAATAACTTGGAAACAGTTACTGAAACAGCAGATATTGGTACCGTTTAGGAATCTGAAAATATGTAGACAATCCTGGATGTACTGGGGAAGAAAAAGTGTCCAGTAGTGAGTTTAGGATGACATTTTCAGAGCACTAGGCAGAGATTTAACAGACAGAAATTAGTCTCTTGCTGACAAAAATAAGTCCTTTTTTTTTAGGTAATGGCCTGCAGTGCTTTCCTTTCTGGACTGTTTGGCTGTTTCCAGAAGTTTGTTTTTGAAATATTATTTCATGGAGATTTTAAAGGCTCAGAGCATAGGATTTTGCTTAAACTCTGTATAAATTAGAATATTGGAGACATTTGGTTACTGATCTCCAGCTGTACTGATTAAACTTACTATGATTTGTACTTTTAATTCTCTATTAATGTAGCTAGAAAATGGGGTAGGTGGGGTTTTCTATGGTTACTTACACACATGAATTGAAATAGATAGCAAATAAGAGTGTCAGAATTTGTTAACATCTAAAATAGCCAAATCTTGAAAGCTAGAAACTTTCTGTCACTGCAGAGAGTGGTTTTGGGGGTAAGCACACATTTGGCCCAAATATATGCCTGCAATAAAATTATTTTCCTTACAATTTCTTTCTTTATTAAACTAAAATTAAAGGAATAGTTGTAACTTACAATGGAGGTATAACACAGTGTTGAAATTATTAAACAAAAATCCTTTCCCTGCTTGTGTAGGTTTAAAAGCTCTGTTGTCCCAGTGAATATATGGCTTTATTGTGATTATTTTTAAATCTGTCTTTATTAATTTTGTACTTTTTCAGCTTCTCCAGCACCAACAAGAACGGGTCAAGCAGGGAGCTTGTCAGGCAGCCCCAAACCTTTCTCTCCTCAAGCATCAACGCCAATTTCTGCTAAGCAAGAAAGAACTTCCACTCCAGGAAGCATTCTGAATCTTAATCTTGGTTAGTCTTAACCTTTGAAAATCTAATACTGTTATAGCTGAATAAATTATAGTGGTGTCAGTGCAACATAATACAAACAAACTTGCTTGTATGTGGCTTTAAAGGAACAAAGGGCTTTAAATGAGGCATGTGTGTAATTATTGTTTCATCAAATATGCTGTTCTTTTTTTGTTTTATAAATGAAAGTTCCTGTTACTGTTTCTTCTTGTTGATGCAAGTAAGTAGTTAAAGGATGATTTTTTTTTTAGCTGAACTGTACAAATGAATGTTTCTAAACACTAGGTAAGTTTTTAAAGGTTGTAATTACGTGAACATTGCTGCTGTTCACCCCTCAGCCTCTCAAGTGAATTGCTGGCAAGGTTTTCTTGTGGTCTTTAGGATTTAGGATTTACTAGGGCTTCTCTCTTGCTGCCTTCACATCACCTCCTCACTGACCATCCCTCTCTAGGGAGATAGATGGATGAAAGGAATTAGCAGATGTCTTGAAAATCCCTAGAAGTAAATTTTGCGATTCTGGAATTTTGAAAGATGGAGTAGGTAAGTACTAAGTTGGTAAAATCGTTCTGAAAGTCAAAGGGATGTAAATCACTTTCCTCAGTCATGCTTTGTTCCTGTGAGTATTCTGATTCAATTCTGTCTACTTTTTACCTCCACATGATACTACATGCAGAAACAGGATTCTGCCCCTTGGTATTAGCCAAATACTTCAGGAAGGCTTGAGCTCAAATGCTGAATTCATGTTTTCAGTGAGTTATGGATATTCTGATTCTGGATACAAGCTCGCAAGTGTATTTTTCAGTGTGTTAGTCTATCTGTGTGGACATAACCATAGAATTAATTTCTTCTGCTGCACTGCAGCTGTTTGTTGTCTTATGTGAGGTGACAATGCATTTGCAAAAACATTAAGAAATATGTGGTGCTGCAGTAGTTTGAGGCACAGATGAGAGAAATCAGCTGGAGCATAGAATATTTTGAATAAATAGTGTGGCTCGGAAAATCTGATGTTATGGTCCATGAGCAATACCATAAAAGTACCGCTACTATGCTTTCAAGTAGAATATCAGTTATTTTTTCAGCTTTAGGGGAGTTTCCTTTGCTAAATATACTCTTTGGTGCTAGGAATGAAAATGGCAACCCTTCTTCATTTAATAGTGTCAGCAGTGCCAGACATAGTTAATCTGTGAATTCTGTGGTTTTCAGATATGACTTATTGTGTCTCGTTGTCATACATAATGTGAACAGGGTTTCTCTCTGAAAAAACAAAAGTGAAAGTCCAGAAAACAAAGATACTTATGTACCTTGAGCAGAGTACTAGGAGGGCTTTATGATTGTCCTCCAATTCAGCAATAAGGAAGGAAAAATAATGGAAATGAGCCATCTGTTGTTACTGGTAGAGTGGCTAAATTGGAAAATGGAGGTGGGTGGGAATGACCAAGCTATACACAGATTACTTGGGGAAAAAAACGTATTCCAGATAGTATAGGATCTGTCATTGTATAACAGAGGCAGAAAAGATAGAACAACAAGTTTGACCAAGAAGGAGTAAAAATTTTCAGATTGGTAATGAGAAAAAGTAAAGAATTTGGAGATGAGAACTTGAAGATTTCTCCACAATGGGCTTATCTGCCCTTTGGCTCTGTTTTCTTTTTACTAATACTTTGACATTAATGAGACAGATTGGAAATCCAGATCTCAATGAGACCTCCTTGTAGGTTAGATAGAGAAATTTGGATTGCGGACCTCTTTTATATATTAAGATGTAGGGTTCCCTGGGGAGGTGTTACAGTGTCTCGATTTCATCTTCACCCATTCTCCATTTTTTCTTCTGTTTGTATCCTGCCATGTAGTTAACGAAGGCTATGAAGGCCTTGAATCAAATTCTGTGCTAAGGGTGATACAACCATTACTGCTGTGGAGTAAGTATGGATTGGGTGACATAGTTAGCACAGGAAGAAGAAACCTAATTTAGTAAATATTTCCAATACAAGGAACAAATTTTTCAAAAGTACTTAAGTGACTTAGAACCTTCATTTTTATTTTCAAAATTTACACTGCACTGAAAGTGATAGTTTGTATTATGTTTAGTCTCTTCCAATCTGAATATGTGACATCAGGAGTGTGAAATTCAGTATTACTTTTATGACCATTTCACTGGGACTAGAAAGGATGATTGAGTATTATTTAGACTGAATTTGTGTATGCTATAATGCATATATATATTACAAGCCAGGATGATCCAAATTATAGCCTGTTTATTTGGCTTGTGGGATTGCACCACACAAGTTGCTGTCTCTTTCTAGGAAGAGATGAGGAACTGCTATTTTAGCAGTAAACAAAAACTGCATGAATACTTGAATGGTTCCTTCTGTACCTGCTCTATCTGTAATATAGATTCTATTTGCAATCTGATAGGAGATAAGTGGCCAAGCCTGATTGAGACAACTGTACTGCTGAAGTTGAGTCATTATGTACTATGGCTCTTAAATTTTAAATGTGGAATGTACCTTGATATTAAGTTCAAACTTGTAAAGAATGTCTGGTCAGAGGAATCATTGGCTCAGCCCTTTGTATTTATTTGACTTTTCTCCGAGTTGTGCATCAACAAAAAACATCTTGTAAATATGTGGTGTTTTTTGTTTTATAAAAGGTAAAATAAGTCAATACTGTGGCATCTTTTACTGCTGTGGAATGAAACTGTAAACGAAGCACAAATGTACATTGTGCCAGTGTTGCCTTTTGTCTTCTCTATGACCTCTGTCCTTTTGATCCTACCATGAGCCAGTTCAAGGAGCTAAACTGGCCAAACCTAATTCTTCTCTCCATTCCTTCCCCCTTCTTCATGTGCCCTTCATCCTCCCCCAAACAAGCAACTAACTCCAGACTGGTTTAGTGCCCTGGGCATTAATGGAGTGTCAGCACTGTTGGCAAAGAGTAAAGTATAGGGCTATGGAACAGAAACATAACCTCAGAAATTGAAAAATTGAAGCAAAAATGTGAAACCTAGTTGCTAAGACAGTTTTAGCCTTAGCACTGTAGTCTGTACTCTTTGCAGACAGATCTGTTTGTTTCAGAGTGAAAAATCTCTACATGTATAGGAGAACTCAAGAGAAGATTTTGCTGACATACGTTGAAAAAATTATTATTTTATCTTAAATTTATTTATCTAGTGTAACAATCCACATTTTTATTTCTATTCTCATGATTTATTTTTTAAATTTTAAATGGTGATGATAAGGATTTTTATTCCTATTTAATTTTCTCTGTGAAAATATTACTACTAGTAGTAAATAACAGCAGTAGCTTACTAGAAGTGCTGTCAGGCAGCTTACAGACTTGAATGATGATTTCTTGCTAATTTCACATTGATAGAGAAAACGTCCACATAATTGGTGCATGTGTTTTGCATGTGAAACGTAGTATCAGAGAGGAAGTATCCATTGTTTGTAGTAAAGTCATTTTAGAA